CAAGTGTGGAATGTATACTTCCTGACTCCTTTTTACTCCTAGGGGTTTTACACACACACACACACACACACACACACACGTCTTTCTGTATAGATATGTATTTGCATATTGTGCTTGTATTTGTGCACATGTATAAAAATAGCTTTGTCTGTATTTACATGTTATTCACACAATAATTGTATGCCAACCACTGGACTAAGTGTCTACTAAGACAAAGTGGCAAATGAAGTGTCGTCTTCATTTTGTTTATAAGAAAATTGAACTAGAGAGAGATAAGTAACTTGTCTAGCACTACTCAGCCTAGCTAATGGTGAGTCTAGGCTCTGACCCTGGCAGTCTGACTGTGCTCCTCACCATGACACATGCCTCTGAAAGGAATGCAGATGTCTGTCATGCTGTGGCCTCAGGAAGGACCTTTATTTACTCACCCCATTTACACAAGGTTGGTGCAGGACACAGCTCACAGGGCTGGGGATGGTGGCTATGGAGAGAGATGGGAACTAAGTTCTGCCTTATCTGCCATGAGACACTGGTTGAGTACCTCCTGCATGCCACATTAGGTTCAGTGCTGAAGGGACACAGATGTAACACTTCCTTAATACTTTCTTAATATTAGGGGGCTGTCCTGATGTGGAAGACTCTCCTGTACTGCTGTTGTGAGAAAGTTTTCCCAACTTACTGTCAGTCTCAGTTCCCTGAGCTACCTCCACGAGTCCGGGTGAACTTTGAGAAGGTCAGAGCTTTTCAAGTTGAATCCCCAAGTGAGTTGCTACAAAACATATCTCATGCGCTTGACACGTGGAAATACTCAGTGGTTTATACTTGCCAAAGGCTGGGGGAGTAAACTTCCCAGAGAACTGTGGAGCAGTTCTGGATGGGCTGCATGCAAGCAAAACACAGGCTTCCTGGTCACATGAGGTGGTCACTGGTCTTAGAGCCCCACAGACTGCTTGGAGATAAAGCACACATAATGCTCAGGCCCATGTGGGCATGCTGCAAGATCTCAGCGACTACCAGTGCATCATTATTGTTGTCACTGCCACTGAGCCCATGACACAGCTGTGAAACTTCCTGCTCATGAAACTCTTTACCTGTGGAAATTTGTTCCACCCCATTCTAAAATTCTTTTAGGGTTTCTCTAGGCAACTTTGCTTTTCCAAATTAAAATTTATTAGATGTTTCTTAAATGTCATGGAGATATAATTAGATATAGATATAGGTAATATAGTTATAAATAGAGGTAATACTTAACTATCTCTCAACACTGAGAGAAGCATTGTAATTATTTGCTTTTTACAAACAAAGAAGTTAAGTCAATCAATTTCCTTAAGGTGACACAGCCTAAGTTAGAATACTTTGCTTGTATGACTCCAGAGCTCATGTTCTTAATCACTACAGTGGAATTTCTAGAAACTAAATGGTCTCCCCGAGACCGGATTCAGGCCAGGACTGAAACTGCATAGTTGCCATTCTTGCTCCTACCCTCTTGATCTTGGTTCCATCACATTCATATTCCATAATGACCACAAAAATTCTATATTCCAATGACCACAAAGCCTCTTATCTGATCTATAACTCTACCGATAAACATCTAGTGAGTACCAATCTTGTAGTTTCTCAACTAAACCAATATTAACATTGCTAAGTTTGGAATAAATTACTTTGCTTCATACTTGTATAGGACTTCACTGGGTTCACCCTTCACAGGACTTCACCCTGTTTTGCTGCCTTCTTACAACTGTTGGACATAGGAATAACTCTTTTCATTCCACAACTGCGAGAACCAGGCTCCAAGAGAAGCTAAGGCTTGCCAAAGTTTCACAGTGAGGAATGGGAGAGCTGGGCTTAGCACTCAGCTCTGCTGATACCCCACCTTGTGTCATCATATGAGGCTTCTTCTCATATGGGGTGAGTAAATAAAGGTCCTTCCTGAGGCCACAGCATGACAGGCATCTGCATTCCTTTCAGAGGCATGTGTCATGATGAGGAGCACAGTCAGACTGCCAGGGTCAGAGCCTAGACTCACCATTAGCTAGGCTGAGTAGTGCTGGACAAGTTACTTATCTCTGTCTAGTTCTATTTTCTTAGAAACAAAACCTTCTCAACCACTAAGGTTGGCTAAGACCTTGACCCTGAGTGGCACAATGCTTCTCATTTCTCTATTATGACCTTTGGCAGGAAGACATTGGGGTCAATGCCCAGTCCAGGTCCCTGTGCTCCTGAGAGCCTGTGATTGCATTCTTTTCTATTCCTTGGTTCATCTCCATTCTTCCAGAAGCAGAGAATACATGGCCTGGGGGAGACACGTCCTATTTTCTGTCCTCTACTCCAGATTCTCCCCTAAGGTATAGAGAATTTTTATGGGAAATATACAGCTAGCTGCTTGACAGTTGCTGAAAACGTGTACCCAGGGGTAGCTCCTTGCTAAGAGAAAAATCAGCTTTGAGGGAGGGAGGTGGCGCTCTGGCTGGGGAAGAAGAGGTTCCGGGAATGAATGGCAATGTGGCCAGGATTCCAAGTATCCTGCTGTCATCTCCTGAGCTAGAAACTGCCTCTAGCCCAGCCACACAGGAGCCTTGCTGGGGGGTTGGTCTGAGCAAGGTTGAGGAAGAGTGGGAGCACTATTTTCTCTTTGACTTACTGCTGGTGGAGGAAGTTGCCAAAGAATTGTTCCCCATCTCTAGCCTTTTAGGAAGCCCAGCTAGCAAAGTCTCAGTGAGGTGTGAGAAAGAATAGTAAAGGGATATACTGTTGTTCCTCAGAAAAATGCAGATGGAGGTTTGGAGCTGTTTTTTCAAGTGTTCAAGTGGTTAGAGCCTGGTGACTTGGCTGGCTTCTTGGGAAGCTGGGTGGGTCTGAGATCCCAAGCTTCCCCTGGATGTGAGGAGCAGGGTCAAAGTTGAGGAAACCACCTAGTAGGGGAGTTTTTGGACCACTCTGACTCTGCTTGGCCAAACTGATACACCCTGGTGCTATGTGAAAACACTGACTCCCACGCTGGGACTCCAGGGGGTTGGCCTAAGTGTGTCCAGCCTTTGGGGAAGTGGGTGGTGTTTCCAGGGTGAGGGGACCTCCTCTTATCAGCAACGCATGAGAACAACATGCATGGAAACAAGCTGTCCTCTGTCTTCCTTTTTTCTCAGATATTCAGATGCAAGTCCTCTAAAGAGGACTAAATAGGATCAGGAGCCAAAGACATTTTTTAAGATGTCCCAAGAGTTTTACAGCATTGAGAATAGCTCTGCCTTTGCTAGTATAGCTACTCATAAGCAAAATTGTCCTGCCTAGGACTCGTGAGTGCCTCTCTACCTGCTCCTCTTTCTCCTTATCTGGTACCCAGCAGGCTTGACCAGCCATAACAGAAAGAGCTGTAGAATGTCTGTGGAAGAGGCCCCAGACAGCTGAGCCCCCAGAGCTGGAACCCTGCAAAAACCCACAGACACAGGTCAGTGGGAGGGCTCCTTTCCTGAGGCCTTTATCCAACCAAGCATCTCAGCACAGAATGTTCTGGTTGGTGTTTCTTGAACATAAATCTTTATTCCAATTGTAGTGGCTTTGATAGAAAAAACAGGGCACATTTCATCATGCTTTCCCCTAATCAAATGGTTCTCCTGCCAAAGCTGCCTGCATTTCCAAATTGCCCTATTCGGAATTGGTTGGGAGTGGGTCAAGACAGTTAGAGTTGCAGAGAAAATGAATGCTACCAATTTCTATTTTAGCTCATGGGTATCTTGGTTCTGTTGTTTTAAACCCAAAAGAGGCATTTTATCTTTTGGGAGAAAGAAGATGGTAGATAGAAGAGTAAAATTTCCATGTGGGTTTTGGCTTGGGGGAAAATACAAAATGAGAATTGCAGGGGGGAAGGTGGTGGAGTGAAGGCTGGGTCAGGGCCTGCTCCAGGGTGGATCCTGCAGTCTATCTGTCACTTTCATATCTCTCTAAACTTACCTTGAGACATTCAGTGTTCTTGAGGACATTAAAAATCAAACCAAACCCAAAGCTACTCAGAGCATTGGTAAAGGTTAGAGTACACCTCCCTTCTGCTCTGCCCTTGCCCATAACCTTTTTGGTTCTTTCTATCTTCCCTTCTTCTTTGGCTGTTAGGAGGCGCAGAGAGCCTTCCTGTTCCCTCCTTTTGTCCCCCTGCATCTTCCAGGACTTATTTGTTGGTTCTCACTCTATTTAGTCTTGCCTTTTTTCCTTAGACCCTCTTCATCACCCTTATAGCCCCATCCATCACTAGCCACCTGTGGAACTCATCCCATTAAGAATAAATATGCTTGCAAAAGCCAGGTCCCTGACTTCTCTGGTTGTGAGCTGATGTTGGGGCCCTGGAAGTTGCTGCTGGAGCTGATCGTGGGTGGCAAGAGTGTCAGAGGCCCTAATGCTTTCCTGGGTAATGAAGTCCTTCTGCAGAAAGCCACCGGGGGGATAAATGGGAGCAGCAGCCATCAGCACTAACGCAATTGTAACCTGAAATCAGATCTACCGTGACAGGCCTTGTGAGATTATTTTGTTACAACTCTTCCAGACAGCAGATCTCCCCTTAAAAACAAGCCACCTCTGAGGGCTTCAGTGAAGGCCTCCTCCTCAGTTAATCCCCCCAGGACCCAGCCTGGTCCTCTCTGAGGTCCAGGGTGAAAGTGATCTTTCTTCTGATGAGAGGCCACTGACTTTCCTAAGTGAAGTAATCAAGGCTCTCGGATCTAGGCCGTGGGGCAGGTAATCCAGGGATTAAGTAGATTTGGCTCTGGAATGTAGAACAAAGTCACAGTTCTCAGACATCCCTTCCTAATCATGCCCCACTTAGGCTAATATCTGCAAACAGTTAACCTGCCTTCCCTGAAGTTATGGTGCTGTGGCACAGGGTAAGACAGTGGCCCATATTTATTGGTAGACCTCACAGAGGGCCAGGCATTGCAGGAGATAATTCAGCCTACACATTGCTAAAACCCACAGGCAATCTTACTGAGAAAAAGGACTCAAGTGCCAACACACAAGATGCTTCAAAAATTTAATAAATAATGATGTTTTAAAACTGTATAAACTATAAATTACCATGCGATCCTTATAATTTAAAATAATTTACAGGTTGAGGTAGGGAGGGGCCCAGGAGAGTGGAGGGGGAAGGTGGGGAATGGAAGCTTCAGGAGGATCAGCCTCTTCTTGCAGCCTTCCTATTGAGCACACACACGCAGGCTGTGTCTATCCGGATAAAGCGCCAGGCAGCCTGCTTGTTATCTGTGGTCAGTGCCTTGACAAAGGTGTGGGTTGTGGTGCAATATGAGTTCCAGTGCTTGGAGTCGATGCCTCGGCACCCACTGTCCACGGGACTGGGGTCCCGGCACTTTGTCTCAAAAAAGTACTGTTTGAATACATTGTTGTTAACATTTACCTCTGCCAACACTGTCACTTCTTTGCCCTTAATGTCTGTGGCTGTGGTCTTATCTGCAACCCACACGCTGACACTGTCACACACTGAGAACTCTCCCATGTGGAAGACTGGGTGGGTGGATGACCGCTTGCTCCTGTGAGTCCTGTTGACAGAAGCAGCACCATCCACCTCGAAGTCCAGATCCTGAGCGTCTGTAGACAGGGGTGGGGGCTGGGTGCTGAAGAGCACACGGGGGGAGTGGAGTCGCCGTTTCTTAAACAGTCTGGGGTCCACGGTGATGTTGAGGGTCTGCCCTGCCACCCGGGCAGCTATTGGTGCAGCAGGGGCACTGTGGGCTCTTCGAAGGGCTGTGTCAAGGGAGTGCTGGAGTTTAGTCCAGTGGGCTTGGGGGATGGTGTCTCCTGATAGGACATTGCTGTCTGAATATGGTTCTGCCTGGATGCCGATCAAAAACACTGTGATCAGAGTGTAGAACAACATGGACATTACGCTGTGCACCTGGGGTGAAAAAGGAAGATTAGCTGACAGAGTAATGGGAAGTGTCATCGAAAGGGTCTCAGATTTCACTTGGTAGTTTATGTGCAAGAAGACTACGTTTACAATTCAACAGTGACACTTCTTAGAGTGAAGTGGGTGCTAGCAATACTTACACTGGAATGGCAGGTATAAATGGGGCTGACTCAGGTGATCTGGATATATGGTTACCCTGTCTTTGGAAGGATTGGAGCCCCTGAAATCCTGCCTAGTAGCATGGTATGAGCATGAGAACATCACTTTTGGATTCCTTTAGGTTCTCTGACTACTAGGTTGAGGCAAGAGAGGGTGGGAAGCATGAGTGCCCCTGGCACCTGTGTCTCAGATGTGAAGGTGCTGGTCCTGCTCAGCATTTTGATTACCCTAGAGAGGCACTAGATGTACCTGCAATAGACATATTCTGCTCAAAGCCTGGGCCCTGAGTACTTTCCTTCAGACAGTACCCTCAGTCAGTTCTGAGACATAATGACTCAGAACCCTTGTTATAAATTCTCAAGTCAGCATATTTAGTAAGAGACTTGTGGCTCCTCAACCATGCTAGTCAACTACATGCATGTATTCAACCACCACCTTACACAGAGAAACATGCTACCATTGGTGGACCCTCTTTGGGTGAGGTTTTTTGCATCTTTCATGTGTTCACTTCTAACTTCTCATTAGTTTGTGAGTCAGGTTAGAAATTACTATCTTTCATACACAAAGAAACTGATTCACAGAAAATCAACTGACAGGCCAAAGTCACAAAACCAGAGTCAAACAGAATCCCATAATTGACTCCTTATTAAACTAGTCTGCTCTTCTCTCCATCCATCCTTTTCCCTCTACTCTCTTCATCTTTCATTCTTAAATATGTCTTCCCTATTTGTAGTTTGTTCTTATGCTAGTAAAGATCAAATGACATGACTGTTCCCAAGAGGGCTCTGCCTTGCACTGCAGTTGTCTATCAGTAGCACTGCCAACCTTTTAGCCAAGTAATTCTGAAAAAGCTCTCCTCTGAGAGTCTTTTAGATGTTCCTGCGGAGCCCCTGTCTATACCTTTAGGTGCATAGCAAATGTCACCCCTTAATCTTCCTCCCCACATCTTCTTATCTGATCCTCAGTAGGATTAGAGGCATCCCCTAAGAGTGTTCCACAAACTTCTAATTCTACCTTTTCTCTACCACCTTCTCTTTGAAGCCTTATCAGATATCTTTCATCAAAAGCTATCTTTTAGCAAGGTGTGATGGTGCACATCTGCAATCCCAGCTACTTGGGAAGCTGAAGCAGGAGGATTGCAAATTTGAGGCCAGCCCCCACAAGTTAATGAGACTCTATCTCAAAACAAAAACAAAAACAAAAACAAAACAAAACAAAAAAAACTCAAAAGCCTGGGGGTGTGGCTCAGCAGCAGAGCATTTACTTAGCATGGGGTTCAAGCCCCAACACCATAAAAATAGCAACAACAGCAAAAAAAAAAAAAAAAAAAAAAAAAAAAAAAAAAAAAAAAAGAGAGAGAGAGAGAGAGAGAGAGAGAGAGAGAATGGTTTCTTTTATTCTAAACTTTAGAATAGCCTCTCTGCATTCTTTCCTGCTACAATTATGTAATAAAATTTTTTTGTGTTAGATTTAGGGTTAGAAAACTGGATATCCAGCTCACTTCTTGTAAGCAAGAAGCCAATTAATCTCTTTGTTTTCTCACTGATAAATGTGGACCATAAATACTATTTCTCAGGGTAGTTACTAAGAATAAGGTGGCTACTCCCAAAATCTATGTTAATTCTGGGTCATTTTGATCTCGTGTCTTCTTCAGGTCTATTGCTGATAATTCACTTTCTGAGAACCCTCCATCCATGACTTTCCCCAGAGTACTGCTTTCTCTTTCCCAGACTTCTTTCAAAGCCAGTGTTTGACCTGTTTCCCATTGCTGACAAGGGAAGGGAAGGGAAGGGAAGGGAAGGGAAGGGAAGGGAAGGGAAGGGAAGGGAAGGGAAGGGAGGGAAGACAATGTTGTATTCATCTGTGTAGCTGCTTCTCTGTCCCTTGGAGTGTATCTCTCACAGCCCTTTCTTTATCTCCCTGAGAGTTTTAGAAATATGTGACATGTGATTATACCATGCCATGGCCATGTTCAGTGTCTTGCATGTAGTAGTACCTCAAAACTACCAGGAAGATGAGGGAAAACATCAATGAGGGTGGTCAGAGGAGCTTGCCCACTGTTTTCTTTCCATTATAGTTAGTCATGGGATCTTTTGACTTTGTACACAGGGTTACACATCACATCCCTGATGTGCTTTGAAATAGTGAGTTTTTCCTCAATACTATGCTTTTATTCAGCTGGGAGGAGAGAGTTCTTTGGTGAGATATCAAGAAGGAAAGAACCAAATTCTTTTCTCTTTGGTTATTTTGAAGAATGGTTTTCTTTGCTCCAGTTGTCATCCAGCCATGCAGAGAAGGTGGGATATCTGGGCTTTGACCACAATCAAATTTGTTGGCTAGTGATCTTGCTGATAAATCCAGCCAACCTCTAAAGAATTAATTATTTGTTGGTAGCTAATTTGAGCCTAGTACTTTTGCTTCTTTTCCTGTTTCATTTCTTTCCTTTTCTCAGTACATAGTATCTGTCATCAGTTGAATTAAAGGAGAAGAAATAAAACTGAAATTCATCCCTTTAACCCAAATTAGTAACACTTGTTAGAATTTGGATAGGGAAATGAAAAAAATCAACTAAAATTTTTAAGTTTCAATGAAAATAAAAGGTTCTCTGCTTCATGCGCCTCCGTGGTCTTACCCACAGTCTCCTTTGGTAAGCTCATCCTCTTCTGAGGGGTTCATGAGTTTTCTGTGCAGCAGAGACCCAAATCTGGACCTCCAGCCTACCTACTGCTTTAGAGCCAGTTCTGAACCTCCAGATTTACAAGGACAAGTTTTCACAGACACTGACGTATTTAATGCAAGACATCTAAACCCTAAATCTTTAACAAGTGTGTTCATGTCATTTTACTTCTGTGTCCCTGCATTTTTTCTCTGAATTTAATAGCAGTAGGCCCATTTTTGACTAATTGATGAATTATAAAGCAGTTCTGCCACTATCTTTGCAATCTCCCTAAATGTGCTTATCCATATTTTCCTTTTCCTATAACTGGCATCATTATATCTTCATCCACCAGCACCAAATCTTAACTCAACCCTTGAGTCTTCTTTTTTTCCTCCCTCCCTTTTTTCCCTCAATCTAGTCCTCTACCCAGCCTCCTTGGTTCTGCTGTGGTAACATTTCTTGAGATTACTTTTATTTCTATCCTCATGTCTGTACCTCAGAATATGTGAACTATCTACACATGACATCCTGGATACTCATCTCTTTTTTCCCCAAAGCTTCTTATCCCTGCCATCCATATGTAGTTTCTCAAAACACTGCTCTGACCACACCACTCAAAGAAGCTAGTAGGGGGCCTTTGTCTAACAAGCTAGAAGGACTGCTCAGCCTGGTCTCAAGTCCTCCCTCCTAGCTTTCATTCCAGGCACGTAAGCTCCTAGGACACATCCTGACATGTGCTTCTCCACCATTGCCTTTATTTCTGTTTCTACTTCATCCCTGTTTCCCCAAGATGCTCCTCTTGCTCTCCTTGGCCCTTTCTGCTCTCCTGTATTATGGCTTGTGTCTAGATGTTCCCCACAAAGGTTCATGCAGTCATAGAGGGGGATTTTTCAAAGTTGGCTGAATCTAGAGTGTGTGATTGATTCATGGTGCAATGATAGGATTAAGGGTGCTATGATTAAGGGTGATTACTAAATTAGTCTACTGATTAGTTTGGCACCACCCTAATCCTGGAAGCCTGCATACAATGCAGGAAACAGAAAGAGGCTTTCCTTGCCACTTGCTTGCTTGCTTTGCTATCTTCTGCCCCCTTGAACTATTTGTCTTCTGCAATGCCCATCTGTAATACCACCCTGCCTTGGAGTCAACCAATTACAGTATGAAACCTCTACAAATTGTGAGCTAAATAAACATTTTTCCCTTTAAATTTTGAGCTTTAAGTATTTCATTTTAGCAATGAGAAAAGTAACTAACACAGGATTTGGTAACAGAGAAGTGGCGTTGTGACTATACCTTACTATGTGGTGCCAGAGCTGTTATGGTTTATGTCTACATGTTCCCTCAAAGTCTCATTCAGTCTTAGTGCTTTTCAGAGGTGGCTGAATCTAGAGTGTGTGATGCGGGGGTTAAGGCTGTGTGATAACTAAATCAGTTCACTGGTTGGTTTGGCTGCACCCTAATCCTGGTATTCTGGGTAAGATAATAGTGGGCAGAAAGACACTATTGAGGTCTCTTGTTACTATACTACTTTCTGCCTGCCATGACTGTTTTCTTCCATGAAGCTGTTCTGCTTTAGAGCCAGCTGATTATGGATTGAAACGTCTACAAACTAGTAAGCCAAACAGACCTTTCCTCCTTTAACTTTGGGGACTGGGTATTCTGTCTCAGCAATGAGAAGAGTATCTAATATAGCAGCTTTTGGGACTGGCTTGTGGGAAGAGTTTGGAGAGGTTCAGAGATGCTGGCCAAGAAAGTAGAGCTGGAAAGCCTTAGACTGTACTTGATGGGAAATTCTGGTCAGAGTTCAGAAAATCAGAGGCTGATAGAAATCCTGCTAGCAAAGACCAGGCTTAGAAGGTTTCTGCTGGGAAGAAGAACTGCATTGGCTATTGGACTCCAGATTGTGTGTATTATTGCTTTGCAGAAAGTTTGTCTGCATTTTGCCCATATCCAGAGACTTCACCTGAAACTGAGATTAAGGGCAGCAAACTAATTAACTTTACAGAAGAAATTTCAAGGCAGTCTAATATTGAGGCAGTGACATGGCTACTGTTGGGGGCTTTTAGCCAGATTTATATGAGAATCAAGAACAAAGATGCCAGCAGAATGATTTAAAACATTTTGAGTCTTGCCAGAAAGGAAGCTACAGTAAAGCTGTGGACTGCAAAGATAGAACAGAGGAGATCTTGATTGCAGAAAAGCAACAGAATAGAAACGATGGTCTGAAGGCATCACGAAAAGAAACAAGTCTCTACCCTTTGCAATTTTAAAACTGCAAAAGTGAAAGACTTTGCTTTGAGAAGAGAACCCCAGAGCACCATGTTCCAGAATGGTGGTAGCCTAGGGAAGTTTTCTTCAGTCAGTTCATAGATTCTGGACCCCTACAACCAAGAAAGAAGGATGCCTGGCTACTGCTCCAGATGGCAGCAGACCTTGGTATCATCCATGTGCACAAGTTTTAAAGGTATGCAAAATTCAAGAGTTGTAGGGTCAGGAAGGCTTCCACTCAGATTTCAGAAGAAGGCCTAGGAGACCAAGCAGTGTGCTCCTGAGAGAGCAGTGTGTGAAGCTGTGAGTGTGAAGCTAAAGGTGCAGTGCAAGGTTGCAGAAACCAGGAACACAGATTGTTCAAAGACAACTGCAAAGAGTGAACAAAGCCAGCTAAAGAAAGAAGCCACGAAAGCTACAACCACCAGAAGTGCCATGTGGTGGAACTAACAAGCTGATTGGCACAGGTTGCCTGTGATATTGCACATTGAACTATAAAACTTAATGTTTGCTCTGCTGGACTTTGGATTAGCTTTGGTTCCATTGCTTTGTAACCCCATATTTTTGCCTTTTAAAATGGTAATATTTACCTTGTAAAATTTTATGTTGGAAGTGTTTAATTTTCTTTTTATTTGTACAAGGGCTCACAGCTAAGAGTTTGCCTTAAATATCAGAGGAGACTTTGAACTTGAACTTTTCGGCAATACTAAAACTGTTAGAACTTTGGCAACTCTTGGAGATGGAATACATGCCTTTTGCATAAAAGGATGCACATTAGTCCTTGGGTGGACAGTGGTGGAATGTTATGGCTTGTGTGTAGATGCTCCTCCCAAAGATTTATGCAGTCACAGATGAGGCATTTTTAGATGTGGCTGAATCTAAAGAGTGTGATTTATTCATGGTGCAATGCTAGGATTAAGAGTGGATGATTACTAAATCAGTCCACTGATTGGTTTGGCACCACCCTAATCCTGGTAGCCCAGATACAATATAAGGCATGGAAAGAGGCTTTTCCTGCCCCTTGCTTGCTTGTTTTGTTACCTCCTGTCTGCCATGAAGTGTTTGTTCTCTGTGATGGCTGTCTGCCATACCACCCTGCCTTGGCATCAGCTGATTATGGGTTGAAACCTCTACAAATTGTGACCTAAGTATTCTTCTTCTCCTTTAATATTGAGTGTAGGCTATTTTGTCTCAGCAACAGGAAAAGTAACCAAGACATTCTCTGTCAATAGAAGCATTTTCTCTTTTCAAAGTGCAACTTCAATAACCCTGCTTCTGGAGAATTTTTCTAATTCCCAAGGTGATAAACTTTCTTTCCCAGCTGACTGATTATGTTTAAAGTATCTTCCAACTATAATATTTTTATACTTTACAATATTATAAATTTTTCCATTCTACCTAGCATTTGCTCATTCTACTAAACTAATGTCACAAGGTTCCTAGAGTCTAATGCTACCTCTAAATTCACTGTCAAAACCACTGTCATGTGTTGTCTACCTCACATCATTTAATGGCAATAAATCATGAATCATGGACAAATACATTTCTATTAGATTTGAAAATAACTCAAGCAGATCTCTTGAGTTTTAGATTAAAAATAGTTGCTTTAAACTTGATTTTCTCATAGTAGTGTGCTACTACAATCTTTCTAAACTTCTAGGAAAGTCTTTTTTAAAGTAATCAGTCAATACAAAGAAAATAAATAATGTATGTGTTTTCTATTCTAGTAATACAATGCATAGTCTAGAGAAGAATATTCTTTCCTTATTTAAAGTAAAACAGGGAAAGAGTCTATTTATTTACTTTTGAAACAACCTTTGAAGTCTTTCTTCTGAACAGATGACAGCCCTTCAGGTGGCTTCATCGAGCACAGCTCTGAGAGGTGAATGATTAGCTGGAAAGATGCAATTAGGGGTTCACATGTAGGGACATGCTCCATGTCAGGTGTGAATGCTGCTTATTAGTTCTGTTCCCAACCAGAATGGAAGATAAATGACTCAGAATGGGGAGATGCATCAGAATGGTTTTGAGTCCAATCTCCAGGAGCTTCCTGGCCCTCTTATCCTCTTCCTGGTTAGCAGTACATTCTGCAGAGTACCAGGGTTTACATGCTCTGATAATAAGAGAAATTCCTGGTACTTGATGAATGGTCTCCACATAGTTATCCTCATCTGGCTAGGGGATAGAGCTGCTGGACAGAGCTGAGCAATAGCCCAAATATTCATGGCTGAGAAGGTTGAAGTTATAGGAAAGCCTGGCAATCTTGGCTGTGGGGGTTTACTGTAGAAGGAAGCAAGATGATTCAGTCTGCCTTGGAGACAGAGGTGCCAAGAGCAGTTAGTGATTCTCAGGCTATGGAGTCACTAACTGTTGACAAGGAGGAAATTCTTATAGCTGAGGAAATCCAGCCTCTTCCACCTCCTTTACCACATTCTGAGAGACAGTCAAGGGTTATTTATTGCTTTATACTTGGCCTCCACTCTGAATGTAAACTGGCTATTGCCTTTAGTTATAACCCAGTCAGTCACTCCTGGCTGCTGAGGCCAGGAGGAATTCTGTGTTTCTATCGTTTTCTAGGGAGGAATCCCTGAGGTGTCCTAGGCTGGACACAGAAGAGCACTGACAGAATAAAATCCAGCTCCTTTGCTGGCATCTACCAGACAGGATTTATTTTATTGGAAGAGGCAGGGCCTGAAAGAGATACAGTGACTAAAGTCTGGAGGTTCTCAAGCTTCAGGACATTGGAATCACTTTAAACCAGATTGCTGTGTCCCACCCCTACAATGTCTGATTTATACATTTGGTAGTAGCAGGAAAATCTGTATTTCTATTGAGTTTCTGGGTAACACTGGCACTGTTGTCTTGGGGACCACATTTTGAGAACCACAAAGCTAGCCTGATCCTGTAACTTTCCAGAAGAGAGCCTTGAAGAGGCTGGCAGACTTGGAGTCATATAGCTAGTATGAGACAGTCTCAGCCTGTAACTTTTTCTGTTGCTCATCTTCTGCACCTTTAGACAGAGGTATGAGATTGCATACACACCATTATTGGCAGGTCCTGGTGCATATTCATTCAATACTCAAAATGTAATTTCTATTCAGATTTTTGGTTTTGCCTTCCTGTTGCTTTCTGTTGCTACAAATTAAGATACAAGAGAAAATTTAGATATTTAATTAACTTATGTCTGGTGTTTCAGGTTTCTGAGAATCATATGGATTGGATCCAAAAACACTTGAAATGCTTATGATAGAAATATGTTTCAAGAGCAATAGTGCATATGTGTACCTGTGAGCTAGCTGGTCTCCAGAATGGGTGTGCTGGCTGCATGTAGAGAACAGAATCTGCTTGTCTGAATTCTTAGAGACATGTCTTACAGTAGGTTGGGTGAATTATGGGCCACTATTATCCCTTATTCCAATAAATCTGAGATGTAGGCTTTATTACTTCCATTTTATAGATGAGGAAACAAAGGTAGAGTGTGAAACTTGGTCAATACAATATGCCTGGTGAAGGTGGAACTCAGAGCCAAGCCTGCCAGTGTTACAGATCTAGAACTTTCCTTCACCCTACTGCTCTACTGGCCAAGGGCATGAACAGTAACTGTGGATCTTTCATCTCTGCAGGCCACCTTCTTAGTCCAATGAGTTGTATGGAGAGTCTAACTTATGCTGTCAACTCAAGGTCTTGTGTTCCTTTACTCTTGAGATGTCCCCAGTTATGGAGTCAGTTTGAGGGCATGAGAGACCTCCTCCTGGACAGGCTAGGAATTTGCAGAATTGCTGAGAGTCATTCAAGCCCCCTTGCTGATCAGCTGGGTCTAACTCTCCTTCCTCTATCTGTCATTTCCAGCTGTTCTATCCCTTGAGACCTCTGTGTTCCAGATCTAAAAACCTTGGTGGGGCAGGTATCCCACAGGTACTTACCTCAGTGTGGCCAGGATAGAAAGCTGCTCCCTTGGCAATGCTGTTATTGGGTCCAGACGCTGAACTGAGTTTGGGTCCAGCATGCCATCCAACCCCCTGCACTGCACGACCACAGGCCAGAACTCTGTAGAGAAGGAGAGCTGATGTTAGATGACAGGACTTTCATCATGTTCCCCAGAAGATGGATGGATAACTATGCCCAGAGACTGGGAGGGATGTGCTAAAAGTGACAAATCCTGTTTCTGATTTCAAGGAATTTACCAGCATTGAGGTCCAGAAAGAGCTAGAATCCAGTAACGAAGATCACAGGCCTTGCTTTTACATGAATCTGTCTCTTGAGCTGTTTCAGACTGGGCACCATCCTGGCTGCTTTTACACTTTGTGTAGGTAAACCTAGACACCAAAGTCCTGCTTCAGCAGACCCCTAAGTTGCCATCCAAGTAGAAACCGTTCTGCGCATTATATATGCAAAGATATGTAGACCCAGCTCTGCATCAAAGATAAATTATACAAAATATTGCATGGTTTCTTCTATATTAGAAGCCCAAAATGCAAATAAAGAGCAAAATAAAAGATAGATTATAAGGAACAGGAAAATAGACATTTTTCAAAAGAGAATATGACCAAGAGATGGAGGGAAGATGGTTGAGGGAGGGGAAGGGGATGAGAAAAAGAATTAAGATATGTTTTGTACATATGCCAGCTTCTCATAAGGAATGCAATCATTATGTCCTGCAAACATCATCAATAAAAAATAAAAATAAAAAAGATGAGTCCTGACAATTCAGAGCAAGTGGGTGGTTTGATAAAAATGCATAAGACAATGTTATCCCTGATACACAGCGATTTTACTGAATCAGGATATAAGTCTCAGAGCACTAATCTGAAAGAAAACTTTAGGAATTGGTAGACAATACTGTGAGAAAAAAATTCCATTTGATTTTAGTCATTTCTAGAAGTAGCAGATGCATTCTGTTCTTTAACTTCTGTAAACCTAATATACATAGATGATTCTTTCATTTATTCAACCATATTACTAAGCATCTACTATGTACCAGCCTTCGTTCTAGGTGTTGGAGACACATCAGAGAATAGGAGAAAGTCTCCTTTCTCATGGATTTTATATCTATATTGATATCTAGATAGATAGACAGACAGATAGATAGATAGATAGATAGATAGATAGATAGATAGATATCTTCAGATTCTGTTTATGCCATTAAGGAAACACACAGAGAGGCAGGTGTGCCAAGGGGCCACTGTATAAAGGTTGTTTGGTGAAGAGTTCTCTGAGGAAGTGGTTTCCAAATTGAGGCCTGAAGGATGGAGGGGAGAGAGCATTTCATGGGGGTGGAACAGCAAGCGCAAAGGTGTAGAGATAGAGATAAGTTAAAAGTGACAAAGCTTATAAAATGAGCTGAAAAAGCTGAAAAATCAGGTCCACAGAAACACATCCAGTACTTACGGTTAAATCCTGTGGGCATAGGAATGGAGAGAGGGCAATAAGAAGGAGAGTGACAAGTTTTATGGATAAAACAGGGAGCTATTATGTCTACCCTGGAACTGATTGTAAAGAAAGCTCTAAAATGATATCTTTATCTTTCTAATCTTCATTCTCTTTCTCACTCCAAAATCCCTTCTGCCCATCAGGTCCTATTCCAGTGTGGACTGCTACTATTTTGCTTTCAATCTCTTCTCATCTTGTGCTGTGGAAGCAAAGATTGAAGAGGCCATGGTTCCTCAGATCTCCAACCATGTAGTGGGAAATTAGCAAGGGCGCTGGGGAGGTTTTATGCTACAGGGAATCATGAAGTTAAGGACTGGCATGTTTTCATTCCTGATCCTTTCCAAACCCACTCAAAATATCCTTCCTGCCTCGGAAGTTAACACACAAAACAAAAACAAAAACAAAAGCATAAACAATACTCATCTGAAATTTAGGCCTAGAGATAAAATATGTTTTAATTTCTTTAAAATCATGAATTCATTTTCATTCTGTCACAGGGTTGGATTTGGCATGGAAGAGGTATGATGCCATTTTCCCTTGGGGAAGATAAGGAGGCATTATCTGGTCCCATTACTCATAGGCAGGTGGGATCTCAACTTTTCCTCAAACTTTTCATCTCAGGGTTTGGCTGAGTCTTAGAAGTGGAAAGGCAGAGAAACCACAGACCTGAGTCCTGACCCATGTTCCTCTGGTTCCTCTGAGTAAGTTGCTTGGCATTAGAAGGCATCTTTGAGATTCCTCTTCCACGGGTCAAGTGGTTGACATAAATGGTATCTGAAGTTTCTCTGATTCAGAATATCTGTGATTTTATGACAGTAATGTTTTTCAGCTGATATCCTTACTGGATTATTAAGTGATGCTTTATCCACTCTAGCATTTATTTAATTAATTAAGCACTTGAATTTTTAGGCCCTGTATAAGTCATTATGGTAGATGCTAGGAATTTAAAGAGTAAGATAAAATGCTTCCCATACCAGACAATCTAGAACTGAGGAAATGAAAGCACAAGACTAAGAATTTACAGTACACTTTGATAAATATGATGTATATTTCATATGCTATGGAAGTGGAGTAGACCGATATTAGTTTTATTTGTTCAGACTAGTCAAGACATATTCATGTAGGATATACAGAAGGTAACATGTAATCAAAGTTCTTAAGAAAGAATAGCTCATCAGGAAAGAGGGGAAAGAAAACTACAGTAGAAATTCTGAGTTTAAGAACTAGCTAGAAGTATAACACAGCTTAGCAGCAGTGTGGGGTAAGATGGAAAGACAACGTGATGTATCTTATACATCAATTAGTAGATGCCAGTTAACTTTGCAGTTCTTACTGTTGTGGCCTGCTTTCTAAGGATGAAAAAAGATTTAGCTTTTAATCTGTGGAACAACCAAAGAAGAGCAACTGTCAATAAGTATTCTGGATGTTCCGCTAAGACCAGTATACCTTCCAATTAAGATCATTAGAATAAGTAAAATCAGTCTAAATATAAAATTCTATAATTCAGGCAGGCTTGTTTTCTTGGGGTGATGATTGTGGTTATCTACAATCAACCCCTGTATCTTCAGTATCTTTGACACTGGTTAGAAATGAAAATTCTTTAATTTGAATTTCTTGAACTAAATTTTTGAAACAACCCAAATGCCCATCAACTGCAAAATGTATAAAAAAGATTGTGGTATTTTTATACAATGCAGTATTACTCAACTATAAAGAAGGATAAACTTGAGATTCTTATAGATAAATGGATGCAACTTGAGACAATACTCCTAAGTGAAATAAATCAGACTCACATCTGTAAACATTGTATTGTATTCCTAGTATAAAAAACTGAAAGAGTAAACAGTCTCCAAAAATATATAATAGATATTGTGAAAGTGAAAAGAGAAGAAACTGCTCAATAGGAACTGCAATCAGGAAAAGGAGAAATGAAAAAAGGGAAAAGATTATACACACAAGATAATTATATTACTAATCTCTGTGAGTTCATCAGAAAGCACAATTTGTGCTTTCATCGTTTGATCCTTTTTTCATGTCTATATCTTGTAATCTGAGCAACTACTTTGAAGATGACAATGTGTAATATATTAACCATTGTTAATCTTCTATTATGGTGTTTTGAAATTCTGTATTATTGTTTTCATTCTTTTTTTATTTTAAAATAAAAAATTCAAATTCTTGTGTCCAACTCAGAAATTCTTAGTCAAAATTCTGAGTGAAACAAGGCAATCTGAGGTTTAATCGACCATTCAAATGACCACAGCGTACACTTAAGTTTAAAACTATTACTTTAGGGATTCCATGCTGACCCTAATCCAAGCAAAACCTCCCCAGGGGTGAGAGGCCCACGGTAAAGAGAGTGCTGCCGTGCAGTCAGTTTACAGATGGGGTCTTCCTGCCTGCCTGTTCCTTGGGGTAGTCAAAGGCTCTTCCCCTTTGTAGATGCTTGGAGGCAAATACATTTGTATAGCTTTCTGTGGATTATTGCTCAAGCTTCTACTCCTTTTTAGGTGTTAAAGATATTTTAGTCATTTACAGCCAAGAAATTGAAATTAGCAGTACATTTAAAAAATCTTATCAACGTGTAGATGAAGGAGTTGGAAGAAATTGTCTTGGCCTCTGGGAGAGCCGTGGCATTAGCTGCATTTATTTATATCTTCTAATTCTGCTCATAAATATTCCACATGTCCTTTATGTTTGAATTTTATGGAGGATTTCATCTACTTCACTGGTCCCCAATTTCTGCTGTCTCCTAATCTTCTATAGTAATGGCTTTTAACTTTGGCTGCATTCTGGGCCCTTTTGGGGGAGATTTACATACTCCTTCTGCCTGTGTCCTGTTTCCAGGGAGCATGATTTTGTTGGTTTGGAGTGCTGCCTGGGGAATCAGGATTTTGTACAGCTCCCTCAGTGACCCCAATATAAAGACAAAGGTGATAGCTGCTGTTGTGGAGGATCAATAGGAAACTTAGCATTGGCTCTGATGAACTAGTAATTGAGAGAACATTTCAAGAAGCTAATACCTTTCATACAAACATAAAATGCAGATATGGTCACATTGTGAACAACAAAAAAGGTATGAGGTTGTGGTTTATACCTGCTAGGATATGTTGTCCCTGTTGCTGTTACCCAAATCATCTAGATATAAATAGACACTTGTGAATTCAACATTTGGTTTCACTTCTTTCATGATACTATAAGTGTTCTTTGGTGCTGGCCTAGTATTTGGTTGGCTAAGTATTAACAAGCCTAAGGACCTCTTGCTGACATTTTGAATACTAAAGACTTGACCCATAAAGCTTTTTGGCCTATTCATCCCTGGTTGTTCTACAAAGCAATGACTGTTCCCAAGAGCAGCTTATACTACATCAAAGATGTCAGGACATCTGCAGCCTCCTTCTTTTTACTTCTCACCTGATAGAGTTGAGTTGGGAAAGCTTACTAGAAATGTAAAGCATCAAAAATAAATTGTCAGGGCTGGGGATTTAGCTCAGCAGCATAAGTGCCTGCCTTGCAAGCATGCGGTTGTGAGTTCGATCCCTGGTACCAGTAAAATAAAAATAAATAAATAAATAAATTGTTGAAGGTAGAATAATATATATGTCAGCTCTTACTTTGAGCCTATATATAAAGGGAAAAAGAATTTGAAATCTGTTATGTTGTGAGTCTGTTTTCTTAATTTTTATTCTAATCAATAGTTTTCTAATATGGAATATGACCATGAAGTTTGCTAACTAGGAGCTCTCTCTCTCTCTCTCTCTCTCTCTCTCTCTCTCTCTCTCTGTCTTTGGAAAAAAAATTCAGTTTTGAACACTTTGAGATGATTTGATGAGCTTTAACTATTTAGTGGTTTTGGCTTATTCAGTAGGAAAATGGTACATCTGGTACCAAGGACTTAGAAAGGCATTAAACTAGCAAAACTGGTATTATTTTTGACTGAATTTTTCTACGCTGATGATTCTAAAGTGCTTTGTTACATTCCTTAAAGAGAAATGGTGATACGGTTCTTTGGAAGATTCAGAGTAAATTACAAAACTCAGCATTTCCCCTGAGAGATAGGCGGTCCAAGAAGAATCTATTTGTGGTTGGCTGACTGAGTTTCAGTATGAAAGCATTTGCTCCAAAAGTGAGTGGACTTTTCTTGCATATGGCTGGCCGTAATCTGTGTAATATTTATCTGAATGGAGTAATTCATGAGCTCTTTAATAGCTAACACCAAGGAGAAATTTTCAAAGTATGGATAATTATAAGGACATTAATGTGGTAGAAGAGAAGATACCCAAACACAAATCAACCTTCCACAGCAGTGTTGTGGGTAGTATATTTTTGCAAGAATGTACTGCTAAATAACAGTTCTGCTAGTATAACCTGTCAGCATACTAATACTAATGATATATCTATAATCTACATTTCAGTGCCAGAAACAATCCAATAGGTTTTCAAACTTTTCTGCAATCCTAAGAAAACATCTCCTTGGTTCCAGCTGGCTGATCCTTAAACCACAAGAAAAAGATCTGTTTCAGCTATGCATTTGCTCTTTTCTGGCCTGTTGTTCCCATACTTGAAGATCAGAGCAGACAGCAGGGATTGGGAACAAATGGGACTCGCAGGATGATTGGAGTCAACTTTTGCATTTGACAATAACAACATCTATTGAGGTCTCCAGTCTTTGCAGATCTAGGATGGCACCTGGGCTGAAGACATGAATGAAAATAAAACAGTGCCAGTGAATGTTAACTCAGATTCAAGCCCTTGATTCCATTTGCTTTATAGGATTAAATGTCCTCAGCTCTTCTTGAGTGAGCCTTTTCCTCTCAGTGTGTGGTATGTTTTCCAAGCAAGGTCAAGAAATGTTACAATGCCTAAGTCCATAATGCAATTCAGATGCAACTTCAAAAATTAAGGCAAACTAAAGATCCATAACCCTGCAAAAGACCAGAAAAAACATCCTGGTTTACAGAGTCAAAGGCCACTTATCCTTCTATTAAGGAGTGATAGGGAGTGAGCCAAGGGACCCAAATGAAGGAAATCCAGTAAAATGCTACCCTTACTCGTTAAAGTGTCCATGAGATGAGGCCATTTCTGTTTGAGCAGCTGGACTTCAGTTTCACTGCAAAAATCGCTGCAGTTCAATCACCCTGCATCCAAGAAAACACGATCACAAGGAGCTGGCACCAAACACATCACAGTGGACACAGCAGACACCTGGAAATTCAGCTGTCACTGAATTGTCATCTCCCTCACCCTCTGTGCTGACATTTCCTGCTTGTCTGCTGACTTAACACCCAGAAAATTTGACTCAAGGCATGAAAGAGATAACTCAGCTAGCTTTGCCCAGGCATGCAGCATATACAAATCCCAGGTAATCAGCAGCTAAGATAAGAGCTGGATGAAGAGTTTATTTCCATGTGTGTTAGTCAGGGGGCTTTGTGCTATTTTGGCAACTCCTGTGTATGGCTTTAACATCCTGGTCCCAAATGGGGAATTTCAGAGGTTAATTGTAATGAAGGGCTCTGGGGCAGGCATTCTTGAACTCAGATTCAGGAATTTCGTCTTCCTCTTTCATTATCTTAGGAGGAAAGGTCAGGGGAGACTAAAACCTGATGTCCCTTCTAAAGTCATTTGATTTTCATATAATTATATTTCAGAATATTTACAACCTTCTAGCGTTTCTCCTGTTAGGGTTTGTTTGACCGTGATAACTTGAACCACAGAAAACTGTACTGAGGAAATTCACTCCGGAGCTAACAAGAGACCCACAGAGTACATCTGTCTCCAGAGATCCCAAACATTCTGGGTAATCACAGATTCCAGAGAGGAGGGCAGACACTTTTCCACATTCACTCATCACACACATACATGCACATACGCACATACACCTGCACAAGGAAGCCAGCCACTCATCCTGTTGCTTCTAAAGAGGAAAAGTTTGAATGATTTAGATTAAGATAAATCGAAACAAATTTACCTTAGAATCTTGATAGCCCTGTTGTTCTACCATAATTACATACTGTTAGAGGTGTGAAGAGCCAGCAGGACTCTTTAATGCAGTTGCTTTTCTTGACAGATGAACAGATTCATCCTGAGGTCTTGAATTAGTTGCATCTCAGCCCGTCACTTACAGACTGTGACTTAACTTTTGTGCACCTCAGTGTCTCCTCTCAAAAATCAGAATAATTACACCCTGTACATTGGGCAATTAAGTGGCTTAAATTGAATAAGCATTTTGCTCAGTGTCCTGAAAGTAGATGGTACTATATAAATGTTACTAGTAGCTGTCCTTACTGATTTTTATTAAAGATATTTGGCCAAAATCAGGTAGGGAGTTACTGTCACAGTTGGGTGCAGAAAACAGTGCTGTTTCCCGTCTATCTCCCAGGTCCCCATCAGGCTCTCTCCAGCAGGAAGGAGTCATCACAGTGTCCCAGTCGTGACTGGAATGACTGCTTTTGCACATGCTCAGTGGGACTGAGCAACTTCAGTTCATGTTCTGCAGCTGTGGAACGATTATCTGCAATCATTTGCCAACAAAGATGCTGAGTAACAAACTGAAACACTTGCTTTTGAAATGATCCATTTCAGGCAGAAGGAGGAAGCTGCTCCAGTTCCAGCTATAGCCATGTTTGCTGAGGGCAGTGAACTCTAGCTCTGGTTAAACTTATCAGCGCTATAAATCAATAGAAACTTTGCTTGAGGTAGTTCTTTTTCAGAGGGAAAGTGAGTCACAAGGAGAATACAACATGGATGGCATTCCTCATGGTCAAACGTATGCTCAGTCATCCAGGGGATTAGGATAATTTTAGGCTCCCACTGAATTATTAACTTTCTGAGGTTTTGGATATATTTTTATCCATGGGGTTATCCTAGAGTTGGCATTTAATGAATGTTTATTGAGCAGAATTGAAAACTCTTCCCACAGCTGTGCTAGTTTATTCAACCAAAGTAGATCATTATTTTATGTAGTGCTGGGAAATAATAAGTGGTCCCAATCCACATGTCTAGATAACGGAAAAAGGCTCCCTGTGCTTTGGTGATATGGGTTTTATTTAAGGAGGACAATATCACAGTGGTGGGGACAGGTGTGCTGCTGAGCAACCAAGATCCAGACCCTCCTTCCACCTTTATTACAAGCCTTAAAAAGCATACACCGGTGTTGTGCATAACAAGCCCCTCCTTAATTTCAGGGTGCTTATTTTTCTTGTCCTGAATTCCCTAGGAGGAGGCTATGCTCCAGCTCAGCCTTTGGGCATGTTGTGCAATCCACTGGGATGGCAATCACCTCATTGTTTAGTTACAAGGCATGAGAAGATGAAAAAGAAAGAAAAAACAGAATGCACACATACAGAATGAGGGTGGAGACTGCACGATGATAATGAAAACCATTTGTTAGCACTAATGCTCCTTTCTTTGTGAATCAGCCGAGTTTCTGGAACTAGGCCTTTGTCTGTGAAGGGAGCTACAACTCAAAGGCCTTCCAGGGACTCATTCTGCTGTGTCCTGTCTAAAGAGTGTCACCTTCTGTCACCAGGATTTGACTGACTGGCCCAGATCTCTCTGGGTCCCAGCCACTAGTCATGGCTCCTGCTGTTATGTTTGATCCCAGGACTGCTCACCCATCCTGTGGGACTGTGTTTTGGCCTCAGTTATTTTTAAATTCTAACCTAAACCTGTTTGTTTGTGTAAGAAGGGTTCTCCCCTTGCTGTTTCTCAGCACTGTGTCCACACACTCATGTCCAGACCTGTTTTCTATATTCTCAAAATACAAATTCTAACTTTTTGAGGATAAAAAGCATACATAAATAAAAACTTCAAAGTAGAACAAACAAAATCTCAAGCAAATCCTCAAATTTTACAACCTTTAGAACAGTATATTCTTAGGCAAACATGTACCGTTGTATTGGTTGTAAAGTTTGTTTTGCCTGTATTGTCTCTAAAATATAAAACTTCTAAAATGCAGGTGGGGTAGTTATTGACAGAGAACAGTACCAAACATTTTCTGTGTACGCGTGCCCATAAAGTCCTGGGATCGAAGTGTTTTCCCTCTGTCTGTCTACTTTTTTAATTGATCACAGTATTTATAGAAGTCAAGTCTCTGAGTCAGAGCCATGGAGCATAGGAATATTATCACTGTGTTAAACCACAGTGGCCACCACTGCCACCAACATTGCAGTCATCACCATGGCCATTGTCATCTCAGCACCACAGCCACCTCCTCCTGACATTCCCTCACCACCACCAGTCAGTCTCCACCCATTACCACCAGCAGCATTAACATTTCCCCATATTACCATCACTGTTAACCACTTCCACCATCAGTACCACCATCACTGTTATGATCATTACCACAACTACCATCCCCGTCGTCACCATCACTAGCTCTAAAAAATTAATGAACTTATTGGAGCAGCAGTTTTTTCCTCTGCATTTTTTATTGAACGTATGACCAGCAGAGTCAAAGGCCTCAAGAGTCAAGCTTTGAGGTCATTTACTCTCCCAGCATGGTTCAATGCAATATTTAGGTCCACTTATAAGTTTCAGCTGAATAGTGACTAGATCTCAGTCTTAAAGTCAATTTTCACTATTTATTATATATTGCATTGTGCTGTTTTCAGTATCATTTTAGAAGCTTTTTTCTTTCTTTATACTGAGATATTTATTTTGCCCCATTGTATTTGGAATAATGTTCTTAGTTTAAACCTTGATGAATTTTAGAATTATCTCAAGAGAATAATAACTATAATGGTCACAAAGACATTTATCATATAGATGCATGTACACATTTACACATATTTCAAAAAGAAAATAAGGAATTATCTACCTGAGTCCTCCAAACTGAGGCAGGTTCTTCTATTTGACTGATGCAATCTATTAATAAGTGCACATTTTTGCAGGCCATTTTGAATTTCTCCATTTCTTCATATTTAAAGAAAAGTAGGCCTCTGCAGAGAGGGAAAACTCTCCCTGGTCCTTCTTCTCAGCCTCCAGAATTTCTGTTTCCATAGCAGTGATTGGCTCCCACTTATAAAAATGATGTTCTCCAAGAATTTAAGACCAAGACCAGAGTTTGGCTTTCTTTTGGCACTTCCATCCCAGTAAGAAAAGTAGCCAGCCAGTTGTTCCCAGAGGAGGCCTGGCCAGCTCGCTCTTTCTTGCCACTTGTTCAGATTGAGTAGGAATTTCTTCATTCTGGGTCTCTACAATGAGTACCCCAAAACTGAGAATTTGAGTTTGGGTTTGCAAGAAGAAAGATTAGAGCTGTAATATCTGGAGAAGTCCCCTTAGGCAGATAACCTAATTGATAAGGACAGTTACCTATGGTTAGGTGTAAAACTAAAGGTAATACAATGTGATGCATTACAATATATTAACCACTTCATAGCATAAACAGTAGGTTAAAAGTAAATACAATCATTACACCTAAAGATAAATAACATTTATTGTGTGTGATGTGTCGGATATTACATGAAGGGTTTTCTGTATAATTTTAAAAATACTTATTAAAAAATTTTCTATTGGTCAGTATTATCATCATTTTATAAAAAAACAAACTTATGTTTCTTAGTGAATGGTGTGATGGATCAGTGCCCAGCTCTCTTGCCCTGTGGCCACTTTTTCTCCTCTACTCTACCCACACAATTCACCACTTCAAAGGAACAGTAGTTTTGTCCTACAGATTTTGTACCGAGAGTGTCTACTTCTGCTTCTATGCTATGAATATTGTGTGAGTGAAATTTGACATCTTTTATTTACTTGAATTTACTTAATTGTGTAGGTAAACAAAACTAGTGATGATTTTTCTAGTTTGCAGCATCCTTTCACTGCTCCACTTATCTGTCATGGGGCTTTTTTTGTTCCCAGATACCAGACTCTTGCCTCCATGAAATACTCTAAGCACCAAGAAATAGGCTTTGGGAGAAGGGATGATTCTGATAGAACTGTGGTCCTGAAAGATAGAAGATTAGAAGCATTCAACTATGTTTTATTGGGTAATTTATACAAATTAGAATATGGCAATTCCATTACTCTCATACATTGCTGAGTAAGATCTTCCTTTTGAACTGGGAAAAACTACCACAGGCAAGACAGGAACTACTCACTCTGGCCTGGGGATGTGATTCTCTTGGCTTTTTGGGTGTGA